GGGGGTGGTCAGGACCCTGTTCGTGGTGGTGGGTGGGGGAGTCGCCAGTGGGATCTTCGTGCGTTCAGGACTTCTGCAGGAGGCTTCTACAATGGCACCTTGAAGAAAGTACTGGGGCAAGAGCACAGCCAGAAATGCTTAGGGAAAGCCAGCCCAGGGAGGAGCAAGTTCCTCGAGCAGGCAGAAGGAAGCGCCCATGCTCCTGCGAGTCTGGGGTGGGAGCCCAAAGGACTCGAGACGCACTGCGGGGCAGCACTCCCCCCGGAGTGCCGGTGCCGAAGACCTTTTACAAAAAGAAATGTCAGTGCTTGATGTAGCACAAGGGTTCTAGTAGCAGGTGGGTGTTTAAGCTACCCTTCACAGCACTGTGTGTGTCAGGGTTAGGAAGGAGGCAGTGTGGCCCACCATCGTGGTGTGAGTTGGGAGCCCTCTGTACAAGCCAGCTCACGTGGGCTCGGGTTCCAGCCCCGGCTGGCCTACACAGGCCAGTCGAGTTGCTACACGATAGCCACCCTGAAGGTGGAGCAGGAGCATCGCACAGGTGAGACCCTGTCAGAAATACCGGTGCGTCTCGCTCTTGTTTGTGTTACTCGTAAAAGAAGACAAAATGTCCATTACGCAGGGAATTATTAAAACATTAGGGTGTAGTTGTTAATAAGGCAGTGTGAGTACAGATGGAACATCCCTAATCTGAAAATCCTAAGTCCAAAGGTCAAGACTTTCTGAGTGTCAGAATGATGCCCTAGGTTGAAAATTAGGGCCAGCCTGTGGCATTGTGGTTCAGGTGACTAGAGTCCACGTGACCAACAGTGAAGTCTGAGAAATGTACCAGGCACCTGGTGGTGTGTGCTCCAAGTCCCAGACGGGGACAAGATGGAGGCAAAGGGACTGCGGTATGACCCTGCCTCACCCGGGGTGCTGCCTCATCTCTCCCCCATGAGTACACATGCCCCGTGGCAGAATTAAGGAAGATTTCGTGCCTGACCTCGTGTGACAGGTGAAGGTTAAAAATGCTGTAATAGAAAAATGGATGAAATTACCTTCAGGCTGTGTCCTAGGGCTGTATGAAACAGAAATGAAGTGTACGTCTACACTGGAGTCCCCTCCCCGAGCTGTTCCATGATGTATGTGCGGGTATTCCAGAACCCACCCAAACACCTAAGCTGAACAGCCGTTCCCAGCTGTTCCGAATGGGGCCGACTGAGCTTGTGCTGGAAATGCAGCGGCAGCACACTCCGGGCCTTCCCCGCCCCACCCGGGTGGCTCAGCAGGCCACACCAGAACGCCCTGGGAAAGGACTGTCAGGAGGCCTGGAGTCCTGAGGGAAGGAAAGGGGGAGATAGGATTCCAGATTCCAGGAGTAGTTTTCAAACCAGGCATTTGCCAGAAACCAGAAGTAAACCCCGCACTAACTGAGGGAGATAGGGAGATAATGAGGTTGTTGAAATCGTTCACAGGC